AGTGCTGTTTTGTTCCTCAGCCAGTCCCTTCCCTCTTAAATCATCTCAAATGTCTGTTGTTGTTGTTTTGTTCCTAAGCTGCTTAGCGTTCCTTTATCCCTTATAAACCACGGTCTCTGCAGCCACCTCCCCATCGATACTCCATCATTTTTCCTTTTAATCTTCAACTAAAAATGTGCTCAGCATGTATTCCCTGATTGTTAATTGCAGCAGGCACTGGTGAAGCTTGCGTGATGGTATTGTAATTACCTCCCTGGATCCTTTTAATTTTTACCCCCTTGTTCCCATCTGAAACTGAAAATATCTGTTCCACCCCTTGATCTCAGCAAGTAGCTAAGTGGTGTGCAGCTGGTTATCTGGGGGCAGGCTCAAATGCTTAATCATCCCTGTTCGGGTCTGAGCAGTGACACCTGTAATTAGTGCATAGCTGCAAGAAAGTTTTTCGGCGGCAGTGGTTCTCAAAGTGGGTTCTCTGGATGAGAGCCTCTGTGTTGTCTGAGACATTGTTAGAAATGCAGAGTCTTGGCTCCTGCCTCTGGACCTGTAAGTCAGATACTGTGGGAGCGGTTGCCCAGCAAGGCTGTACAAGTTCTGCAAGTGCAAGCTGAAGTTTAAGAACCACTGTCTTTGAAATGACAGCATGCGTGGTTGGAGAGCCAGGCTCAGGGAGCTAGGAAAACAGACTTCAGGGAACACCAGGAAGTGAGAAGAGGGGGTGGCACTTTCCTGCTGGAGATAATGAAGATGTCCAGAGCCCTAGCAGTGAGAATCTGTCCTCAGCCCCCTGCGCTTTGAACAAAACCCCAAGTAGCCGTTGCCAGCCATGTGCTTTGGAAAGGCAAACTCAGGGCCTGCGCCGCGGCTCACTAGGCTAATCCTCTGCCTTGCGGCGCCGGCACACCAGGTTCTAGTCCTGGTCGGGGCGCCGGATTCTGTCCCGGTTGCCCCTCTTCCAGGCCAGCTCTCTGCTGTGGCCCGGGAGTGCAGTGGAGGATGGCCCAGGTGCTTGGGCCCTGCACCCCATGGGAGACCAGGATAAGTACCCGGCTCCTGCCATCGGATCAGCGCGGTGCGCTGGCTGCGGCGGCCATTGGAGGGTGAACCAACGGCAAAGGAAGACCTTTCTCTCTCTCTCTCTCTCTCTCTCTCTCACTGTCCACTCTGCCTGTCAAAAAAAAAAAAAAAAAAAAGGCAAACTCAGCATTCAGTCTTCAGGAAGGGCTGTTGGGTCCTCCTTGCTTGAGGGTCTTCCCTGGAAATTACATTGTGAAACAGAGGAAGAGAAATGAGACGTTTCCCACTCTAGCCGAGTTTCATTTTCCTTTACAGAGATGTCTAACTTCGGAGGATGCCCTTACTTGATGTTCAAGAGGAAATAGGATTTGTACTTCAACATCTCTTTTACACTGAAGAATCTTATAAATAGCAGCTGCTTGTTGAGATTCTTTTGAAGGAGGCTGTCATAGATTCTGGGTCAGGATGCGAAAGTTCCTGAGGATTTTAGTATCATACTCAATCCATGCATCATGAGAGCCTAGGAATAGGTAGTTTATCAGCCTACCAGTATTTTGTATCCTGTAATTATTAAGTTGTTCATTATGGACAATTTAGGTTAAGTTCATGTTCCAGGTCAGAAATAGTGTCCTTCATTTGATTCTTAAAAGTATATATTTCTCCTATTTTCAACATACGCCCATGCAAAGCCTTTTCTGGATGGGCCTGCCTCATCGAAATGGCCATCAGAATGGTTCAGTGTGTGACCCAGAAGCCCTTTCTTTGTAGTTTCAATGAAAGCATGATTTATTTGCTAGTTCTTGAAACTCCTGTGTGTCTAGACCAGGAAACTGTCCTTTGCACAAAAAAGGAAAAGGAGATTGTATTGCATCCTCTGTCCTCAAGTGGGCATTCAATATTAAGATAATGTTTCCTGAGGAGAAAAATAAATCCTGATTGATACAGCCAGCCCTTTGGTTGTGGGCTTATGTATTCTCTTTTGAAAAGATCACTGAACTTCTCCATGGGTTGTTTCCATTTGGGTAATGAGATAATGGGGCTTTGGACTCTCCACTCTGTAGTCTCTGATTGTATGAGTCCATGAACTATAGGCACTTGGAGGATTTATCTCAGAGGGGATTCTGATCAACAGCTCTGTTGCCTCTTGACAAATCCAAGCATCACATTTTTCCCTGGGCACTTACGGAAAGCATGGAAGGCATAAAAGAGATAGAAAAGCATTCCCCGATCGCTGGCCCCACCTGGGGCCCAGGGCCTGGCTCTGTTTTGTGACGGCTTCCTGCTTTTACTACCTGCTGAACCTGTCCATAGTATCAGGTGTGTTCCTACTGTCCATGGCTTCAGCCAGAGGAAAAGCAACTTGTCCCAGTAGCATAGTTTCTTTCCTTTAGTATTTCAGCTGAAAGTCTAGGACTCAAGAAGTGATAATGAAATAATTAAATCAGCTCTAAATTTCTTTTTTGGAAAGGACTAGAGGAACAGTTCATTATAATTTTAATATTGTTTTCTATAAATCAATGGTAATATTGAGGTATGTTTTATAACACAGGTCCTCTAGTGTTCAGACCCCTCATTACTGCCTTTATTATGGACAGTGTAGGAGAGAAACCCAACATGACCAGGAAGGCAATGGTCAATAGAAAGAAGTCGCTGCAGCTCAATTCCATTTGCTCTTTTGAATGTTTCCATTCCTGTTGAACCAAGAAATCCTCAGTGACATGGACTTAATATGTCTCTCTCCAACTATTCCATTCTCTACCACAGCCTTGCAAGTACTCTTCCAACTAAATATGTTTCTACAGAGACCATGGAATTAATAAGATATAAAAAATTCATGAGACACTCCCCCCCTGCCGAGTATGCCACCAGTGACTAGTTTTGTGATGGCAACAGTAAGATAATTGGCCCTGGTGAAGTAATGGTGGATTTTACATGAAATATTGGGAACCAAGGTTTCTCTCTGTTGCCTTGACTGTGCAAACATCAGTCTTGATAAGTATGCATTTGTAATGCACAGCTAAGTCCCTGCTGGAATAAGTGAAAAGTGAGTGCAGTATTTACCTACGTATCTCCCTAACCTTGCCCACTTGCTCTGTTTTGTGCACGTGTGTGGGCACTCATGTGCATGTGCACACACACACAAACGTTTACACCATTTATTCTTCACCAGCAGAGGTGCTCCCATCACAGATAGGTGCTGTCTGGTCCACCGTTAGAATCTATAGAGGATTTCTGGTCAACCTAGTTCGTGTACTTCTTTTCTGTACAACTTGAGCAGCCAGGAACTCTGATACAAGTGCACCTTATGGGTTCTGTTCTTAAAACAATCCAAAGCTCCACTATAGCCTGAGAACTGCAGCAGTGTCACGAATGAACTCTAGGCCTGGATTTTCCTTTTATCCATTGAATGAGTGCCTGTGTAGGAGATGCAGCAAAGAGCAGTGGTAGGATGTGCTCTTTAGCTTCTTCTGCTCCTGCCTCCATTCTGCATGGGTCTAGTTCAACCCCTTATCGTCTCTCCTACCCATTGCCTACCTCAGTGAAAAGCTGGCAGCTGTCCTTTCTTTTAGAGAATAACTGTTTTTTCAGTGTTGTTTTTGTTCAATCTGCTTAGTTTGTAAATGCAAATGTAGGTTACTCTTCATGCTTGTTTGGAGGTTTTACCACCTATTTGTGTCTTGGGGGGATAACAAAGGGCATGTTTGACTTGTAAGAGAGATGAAGAATGGATAAGTCCAGTGCATGTAACGTGATCGGAGACTTCCATAGTTGGACTGATCAGGCATCTAAATGGGCCACTCCCCTTCTGGTACTGCACCGACCCCTCCCTGCCTGTTGACCAGCCAAGCATTGTCCTTACAGAGGTACAACTATACTAACTGCTATTGCATACAGCCAGTTCCAACCTGGCAATGCCCAGAGACCCATTCTGCACTCCCCCCAACCCTGGAGGGATGAGGTCCGTGCTGTGTCCCATTTGGGGAAAGTATTTTGCTTCCCCCTCAACTCCATCCCCTTTCCCTTGCCTCATATTGCTCTTCCTGGCTTGGGTATTACCATGTGCTGACTGATAGTAGGGCACTATGAGTTTTCATTCACAGCTTTGAGATGCGTGTGAGGCTTTCCTGCTTCCCACCCAGCCCAACTTCTGGGGCTCCACACCCACTGATCAGTGTGACGCAGGAAAGCACTTCAAAGCTGTGTACCAGTTTGTATAGTAGTACCCTTTTGAACGGCCTGCTCTTGAACAAAACGGAGCGTGCTGGGTGCTGGGAGTTTGCATTGGCTGCTTGACATATATATGAAGCTAGTTCATCTGCATGCTGAGAACAACAGCAACAGAATTAACCCTTAGAGTACTGCTTCAGCATTTCGGTTTTACGATATTTAGGTTTTCCAGTCGGGCAGTGCTGCTTTCCCCAGATCAGGGTGCCACACGGAAGTCCAGGCTTAGTCTACCCAGAACATCAACCAGAATCTTCTCCTCACAGCCTTCCTGAGATGCTCCTGGGTCCTTGATTTATTACCCAACCAATGTCTTTAAAATGCTCTAAAACAGAGCCACAGTGTTTGATTGAAAATGGGCTCCACTTCAGTGTGCTGGAGTCCTCTAAATACGTGTTCTCCAAAAGAAGTCAGTTCTTTAAGGGTTAATACAAAATCAAGGAATTTGGTGGTCCCTCCTGCTTGTCCCTCCTCCAAGGTCTGCATGATCCTCTTTAGATTCTTAGTTCAACTGTTGAATGAAGAGAAAAATAATATATGTATAACTACACAATTAATTAGAAGAATAAAACACTGAATGGTTGAATGGAAAGACCCCTTGGCAATGCTTGCTCGATGTTCCCAGGGGGCAGAAAGACCAAATGTTTTATTTTACAAACACTCATTCCACCCTCCACCCCGTGCACCACCATATCGGCACAGTGGAAGATGTGACGATGCTTCTCATTTACCTCTCGCTTTCTCTTCTTCCTGTCTAATAGCCCGATAGAATCCTGCCAGAATTTCTACAAAGATTTCACATTACAGATCGACATGGCTTTCAACGTGTTCTTCCTTCTCTACTTTGGCTTGCGGGTAAGTTGGAGCAACTTTGCTTAGTATCACAAGGGGGCGTGCGAGTCTCGTCCTCAGAGATCACCCTCCACCAGTCTGCTGCTCCCCAAAGCAAGGTGCAGCCCAGTATTTCTAGAAGGGACAGCAAACCTACATTCTGAATTTGGCTTTGGGAGAGTCCTTTCTTTATAGCTAAGCATTTTCTCAAATGCACTGTTAATTTTGTTTCAAGAAGGAGAAATAGTGGTGAAAACAAAGATGACATCTCTGCTGGCCAACTGTTTCTCCTCTCAGTTGTCAAATATGAATGCATTGTTCTCCCCTGAAAACTAAATACAAAACACATTTCAGCTCTTGCAATTACATTTAACAGTGCTCATCCAGCAGAGAGAGCAGTTGTGAGGGTTAATCAGGGTGGGCAGCAGAATTTGGAGCTTGGGGGAGTTACTCTACACCCTGTTTACAAAATATACAGTACAGAACATAATTATATTGATGTGTACAGTGTGTGTGTGTTTGTGTACATGGATGTATATGTGTATGCTTTGTAGTCAATTATATTTACATCAGAGATTCTAATGAATGTGAGATTGTTAACCCATCTGTATGAGGTTATTGGAAACCATAGAAAAATATAGCAGCTGATCTTACTCCAAGCTAACTTATCATATAATTATCTGGAGAAGAGGCCAAATATCAAAAAAAAAAAAAAAGCACATGATTGGCATTGATATGGGAAGAATGAAATATCTCTCTAGATCCCCAATGAAACTCAAAATTTGCCCTTGGGCAAAAGAGTATAGATTGAATGCTGGAACCATCGTTCTCATTTTTTGTCTCTCTTATTTCTTCTTTCTCCCAGTTTATTGCAGCCAACGATAAGCTGTGGTTCTGGCTGGAAGTGAACTCTGTAGTAGATTTCTTCACAGTCCCCCCAGTGTTTGTGTCTGTGTACTTAAACAGAAGTTGGCTCGGTAAGTCAATCTCTCTTGTATTCCCTTTACTGGTGCCTGAGCCATGGCTGAAATATAGTCTCAGGTGGATCAGGGGGCCGGGCTGTCCCCATACAAAGAAAGTTTTACACAATAATGGGAACAACTGTTTTGGAATTTTAGAAGTTGACGGTGACAAAGTTCTTTGGCGCACTAGCCCAGTTGGATTTGTGCAGTTAGTGTCAGGTGATGGGGGGTGATCATTGTTGAAGCAGAGTGGCCATCACTGTCACAGCCAAGACCTCTGTGTTTGTGGCCCTGTCTGTTTTAATTCAGGAACTCGGAGGCAGAACTGGATAGGGAAGCCCAAGGGACAAGGCCAACTTTCTGAGTGGCTGAATTAGGTGCCTCTGCAGGCTTGCCTGCCAAAGTTAGCCTCTGTCTGCTTTGGAGTTTCCTGAAGAGTGGTGCCTGCAGAGTCTATTTAAACCTACATTTCTGTGGTGGGATGGCGTGAGGTCCCCTCTCACATCCAGGAGAACAAGCTCCCTTCCTATGTAAAGGGGAAGGCTTTTACTGGTGCTCTGCTTGGCAGTCACTTTCCTGTGTCAGGACTGGGACAATTTGGTGGGAAAAGTGACTTGTTCAGAGGCTGGTCGTGGCAACCAAAGGCTTGGAGAGAGCTTCAGAGTTCTCTGATGTGATGGACCAGTTTTTTGCCCTGAAATCAGAGTGTTCTACTGGGGTCTGGTGGGGGAAGTGGGAGGCTGAAACAGGACGTGGAGGACTACTGTGGGCTCCTCATCCACCACTGCCTTCTCCCCGAGATGCCTGGTGTTAACAGGCTTCCTTCCACATCGTTCATGCTCATGCCACCACAGACATAAATGTTGCATGCTATAGAGTTTAGGAGTTGGTGGCGTTTGGAAGAGAAATGCTATCAAATTATCATATCGCACTGTAACTTGGCCTTTTTACTGAGGGGTGCATGATGGACATCCCTTCAATTCTGTGATAGTTTATTTTTTAACAGTTGTACAAAATTACGTGATTTGTTTGGACCACAGTCTAGCCATACTCCTAGTTATGACTACCTGAATATTTTCATTTTCCTTTTTTTCAACCACGCTAAACAATGTTTTAATAAACACCTTCACCCATAGTGCTATATTCTGTTTCTAGAAGTAGCTCCAGGTTTCTGGAAGAGGAATTGCTGGATAAAAGATTTTGTGTATTTTATTTTATACAGATATTGATAGATAACTTTCCAAAAATGTTATGTCAACATACTCTTTCACTGCTAATATATTTTGATGCCATTTCTAGGACTGTGAATTTATTATATACCTAGTATCAAGTACTTTTAAAAATAAGCATCTTTTGTATATATACAGTGTGTGAGGAAGTCACAATACGTGTGTATGTGTACAGATGCCATAAGGATTCCATTTTTCAGTAGCTTCCTTGGTAGAACCATATCCACTTGTCAGTAGAAGAAGTTTTATCTTTACCTGCTTGCTTAGATTGGGTTTTCTGCAGTGTGATGAGACCATTATAGCCACACATGAATGCAGGAGAGTCCCGAGCATAGCCTACATGTGCCTGGGTACCCAGGCTCCAGCTGCCCCAGCTCTGCTGTAAGCTGGCTTTGTGACCCTGGGGGCTCACTGGTGTTCACTCTGCCTGTTGCTTTTCCTCTGCACAGGAAAGATTGAACTAAATGATCTCTTAAGTTTCTTTGAGCTCAGAAAGTCTTTAAGAATCTTGATTCACTGCCAGGATGTTTGGCATCTGGGTTGTTGGGGAGGACTGGGAAGTGAATACGGTTAACGGAGTTGATATTAGGATATGCTGTTAACCAAGGCTGTTGTTAAGAGTTCAAATAGCTATGCATACATGCATGCGTGCACACACACACACATGCACCCCAAATCCTCAAATAAGTAGGGGAGAGGGATCCTGCCTTTTTTCCTGGCTGTGTTCTCATTACTCCATTCATGTGAGCAACCACTTTGCTTTTCAGGATTCTTGGTTTTCCCATCTGAAAGTGAGGGTTTGGACTAAATTGTCTCGCAGTGTTCTTATTTGCTGGAGCTGACTTTTATGCCAGGTGTGCGCTTGGTCGTGGTTGCTAGGTTGGATGACAGAAGGGCTGCCTGTTCATGACTGTGGTGGAGACATCCCCTCTGCAGGGAGCAGATCTCCCCCGCCCCAGGTGGAGGTGTGCAGGCGAGTCTCCTCCTGCATCAGGCGTCCGTGGGTGATTTTAATTCCATGGCATTTTTGTAGGTGATTTAATCCTGGTTTTTGGCGGAGTGTTCTGATCTATTAGAGCAAAGGGGGAGAAAAAGAATAGAAAATGGAATACATGAGGTTCAACCGAATTTCTAACAAGAAACATCTTTGCATCAACTGTGGTTTCTCTTCAAAAGAAATATTCTCTGGGGTGAGGGCTTGGTGCAGTGCTTAAGGTGCAGCAGGTAAGATGTTGCCCGGGACTCCTGCATCCCGTGTCCGAGCACTAGTTTCAGTCCTGGCTTTGCTTCTGATCCAGCTTCCTGTTATTTTGTACCTAGTGATGTGGCAGTAATGGCTCAAGGACTTGGGTCCCTGCCACCCACAAGGGAGACCTCAATTGAATTCTTAGCTCTTGGCTTCAGCCTGGTCCACCTCTGGCTGTTGTAGGCATTTGGTGAGTGAGCCAGTAGATGGGAGTGCTTGTTGTCTGTCTCTCTTCCTTTCAAATAAAAAATGAAAATTTATAAATCCATTTTTAAAGATTTTATTTATTTATTTGAAAGTCAGGGTTACAGAGAGGCAGAGAGAGAGAAAGAGAGAGGGAGAGAAAGTCTTCCATCTGCTGGTTCACTCCAAAATGGCCACAGTAGCTAGAGCTTTGCTGATCTGAAGCCAGGAGCCAGAAGCTTCCTCCAGGTCTCCCACGTGGGTGCAGGGGCCAAGGATTTAGACCATCTTCTGCTACTTTCCCAGGCCATAGCAGGGAGCCAGATTGAAAGTAGAGCAGCCGGGTCTTGAACCAGCGCCTATATGGGATGCCAGCACTGTAGGCGGCGACTTTACCTGCTAAGCCACAGCACTGGCCCCTATAAATACTTTTTTTAAAGATGCCCCTTGAGACCCCCACATACTATATTATTGGAGCCCCTGAGTTCAAGTCCCACCTCGTCTCTTAATTCGAGCTTCTTTCTGGTATGTACCCTGGGAAGCAGCAGGTGATGGCTCAAGTAGTTGGGTTCCTGCTACCTGCATGGGTGACCAGGATAGAGTTCCTGGCTCCTGGCTTCAGCCTGTCTCATCCCAAGTTGTTGTGGGCATTTGGGGAGTAAGCTGGTAGATAGGAAATGCTTACTTCTCTTCCTTCCTCCTTTTTGCCTTCTCTCTCAAATAAAAAGTTAAAAATATGCCCTAAAGTATGGCTTCAATTTGCTTATTAATTGAATAATGGTTGTTGAGCACCTGCTGTGTACAGGCACTACTGACTGACAAGCAAGAGTGAAGAAAAGCGGAGTGCTGCCCTCTCACAGCACAGAGGGGCGAGCAGGTGCCAGTGAATCAATGAATAGTGTAAGTGAATGGTGTAGTATATTAGGAAGCATATGTGTTATTGAACCCCAAAACATAGACCAGTAGCTTTTGGGGCCATGAAATAGCAACAATAACAACAATAAAAATAAACCCTGTCCTCTTGTGGGCGAAAACAATTTTTGGTTCTTGGGTAACCCATCGCCATGGGTGTGATCCCAAATTGATCCGCCTTTTATGGAAAGGAATTCAGTGTAACAGTTTCTCAACTGAGGTCCCCATGCCTGGGTTCTTACATTGGGAAGCAATTGTTGTACACACGAGCTGACCGAGATACCATGATCCCCTGCGGTATCATGTTGAAAGCAGAAGGAATCATCCCATTGAGTGGGGGCATTTCAGGCCGGGCTGCCCTTCTGCAAGGTGGAAACTTGCTGCCTTTACTGGCGGAGGTTTGGGGGAAAATACAGGAAGCCCAGGTCTTTCACAGTTCTCCTGCACAAGCTTCCTGAGCCCTGCTGAGGGCTGGAGGTGGCACCCTGGGGATAAAACCAGAGGGGACAGGAGAACATCTGCCCTTGCTTGTCCCACAGCTTGTTTGATTTCTTATTGTTAAGATGAGTGACCTTGGTTAAGCCACAGCCTGCAAGGCTAGCATCCCATATGGGTGCTGGTTTGAGTCCAGGCTGCTCCACTTCCTATCCAGCTCCACTGCTAGCGGCCTAGGAAAACAGCAGAAGGTGGCCCAAGTCCTTGGGCCCCTGCACCCACGTGGAAGACCTGGAGGAAGCTCCTGGCTCCCAGCTTCAGCCTGGCCCAGCCCCAGTCATTGCGGCCTTTTGGGAAGTAAGCCAATGGATGGAAGACCTTTCTCTGTCTCTCTGCTCTATGTAACTCTGCCTTTGAAATAAATAAATAAATAAATCTTAAAAAAATTTTAAAAGAAGATGAGTGACCTTCCAAAAGTTCAGGAGAAATTGGTGTTATAGCTTCATTCCATTTTCCATGAGCTTTTTGAGGCCACCTCATATATAGTTACATGTAAGCATTTATTTTTCATACTGCATCTGTGATCTTATTTAATAATGTATGAAGCTGCTTCACAAAGATCATGGGAAATGGGTTCATTCATTCATTCATTTTTCAAGTAAGAGAAAAAGATAAAGAAATGGGCAAACAGAGCTCCTATCTGTTAGTTCACTCTCCAAATGCCTGCAAGGGCGAGAACTGTGCCCATCCCAAACTGGATACTATGAACCCAACCTAGGCCACTCAGGTTACTCAGTTACTTGAGCTGCCACTCACTGCTGCCTCCCAGGGTCCACACGGGCAGGAAGCTGGGACCAGGAACCAGAGCCAGGGATCAAACACAGGCACTCTGACATGAGAAATGGGCTTCCCAACTGGTGTTCCAACTGCCAGGCCAAATGCCCACTCTGAAAACATGGAATGGAAAGATTTCTTTTTTCCAGGCATAGAAAGTTGTGAAATTCATGCCT